CCCCCCCCCCCCCCCCCACACACCCTTTTTTTTGGCTATTTTTGAACAAAAGGGAGACATCAACATAGGAAAAAGTTTGAAATGCATAACAGTCATTGAACCTTTCAATTCTTGAGAATCTTGGATTTGTCACCGCTTTTAAGGAAAAATGAATAGTAGTAAACCGTTCAACTACCCTACAAGTTTTTATAATTTGATTTTGCAATTAGGATTTATGAAAAATATGTACGGATAATTCACACATGGGAAGGTGAACCTGTTAATATCTTTGACAAACGATTGCAACAGTTAAGGTTTGATTTGATAAAATCTATATGATTTATGAATGATTAAATTTCGTTTTCAATCACATACTTAAATGAATTCATAAGTACTATCACATATTAAAAATAAAAAATAAAAATAAAAAACCCTCATCCCCACAGCACTATCATCACCTCAACGTTGTCAATCACCCTTGTCGCCAATGAACCATGGGAGAGAGATCCTCTTGAATTTACAGTAGTGAGGGTGATACTACAGGGAATTCAAGGCAAGATCCCCTTGGTTTACTAGCAAACATGTGGGAGAAATCCTCTTAGTTCGCAGAAGTGGTTGTGGTAGTATGGCAGTGAGAGCAGTGTGATGGTGGTGTGGTGGGGTTCGGTGAAGTGAGGTGGGTAAGGAGGTGAAGTGTAGATTTACCAACATTTTACAATACATATATGCGATTATGCGTAATGTATGGATCTAACTATTGAGTTATTCAAGGAGTTTTATACCTTTTAGAAAATGTACATCATGTAATTTTCTTGATTGATTAATTACGTATGAGTTATGTGAACAACTTATATACTTGTACAAGAAGTGTTTGCATATTATCATTATTGAATTACTTCATTACCACATTTCACTCTTTTTAAGTCTTGCAAATTTATATACACGAAGCAATTGACAAGGAGAGTGATATTTCCAAATCTTGCCTTGAATGTACGGTGATTGACTATGACAAAGGCAACAATCATAGTAATGAATAATGTATAAAGTTTATAACTAGGTGATTGATCAAAGAACTATGATGTGGAGAGAATATAATTTATACAACTGGTTTCTTCTACTTTTTAACTTCTATTTTTCTAGACTATTTAATTTGTGTACACATGTATTTTTAAATATAGGGATGGCAAAAAAAAAATTCATTAGTCCCATCTTTGCAAGACCCAACACGTACCTCCTTGAAGCCGCCTCATTTGTTTAATTCTCAAATAATGTTATGCAAGCTTGTCCTATTTATATAATAAAAAATTGATGAAATAAATTAAATGAGATTGAAAATGGGGGCGACGAGGATCCCAGCCTTAGGTAAGGATTTAGGTGGGTATTATGGGAAAAATCATTCGATGGGGACTAAAACAAGGCGATGGGAATTCCTACCATGCAAGGTTCGAGCAGGGATTGGGGGAAACAAATTTCGACAAGATAAAGACAGTAATGTCATCTCGCATCATTGTTATAATTATCTGAACATAGCATCATGTAATGCTATCTCACATCATTGTTATTATTGTCTGAATATAACATCATACTTCTCTCTTCTATTTTTATATTTTCTATGTCAATCTTTTAATTAGTGCAAATGCTAAAAACATGTTACAATTGAAGTTTAAAAATATAGTTGGTCATCGAATTTTAACAAAATTTCAAGTCGATTATTGAATTATTTTGTTTCATATTGATCACTGGATTACTATGTCTATCAGTCCGATTAATATAATAATACTATGAATAGAGTAATTGAAATACAATGATTGATACAAAATCCTCCCGCTGAAAACCTTTTTAAACTTTCAATTTCTCACAATAATTCCAAACAAACCGTCGAAAAAACGCGCACGACACGTAGTCTCGAGCCGGTCAATCGACGCGCATAAGGATCCGGCTTAATAGTCCCAATAACAAATATGACCAAAATATCCTCTCCTATCATGATATGTAACATGGGTATTTCAGTCAACACAAAAAAAATATTCCCAATCGATAAACCGTTCTATAGAAAGTAGGGTACAAAACATCAAGAAAAGGCTTCCTTAATCCTTAAAAACTGCCACCCATTTAGCAGAGAGGATATATGCATAGATAGGGATGGGAGAGAAAGAGACTTCCTTCAGCCCTTCAATTTTCTTTTGATTTATTACTTCAAATTTTATAGATTTTTTTTTCTATTTTTTGCTAATTTCAAGAATTATTTTTTCTGGGTCATAAATATTTTGGAGGCTCTGGAAATTCGAAGTGGCTATTTGTCTCCCTCCTCTTTTCTCTTGAGGTCCAGATTTTAAATTGGGAGATCTCCATTTTTTGGGTATTTTTGATATTTAATTTACATTTTTTTTGGCTTGATCTTGAAACCGAGAGAGTGATATATATAGTATATACATATACCTACCGTATATATGTATATACTTGTAGGGTATTCAAAGATATTGGGAGAAATTGTATAATATGGTGGCAGAAGGGGGATCTCGTTATTGTTCCAAGAAGACTGATGATATATGTGGTAATGAGGTAATTTTTTCTTTTTTTCCTTTTCGTTTGTTTTAAATATTTTAATTGAAAATTATTATATTATTGCTAATTATATTTTCTGATTGATAGCATTGTCGGCGAATTTCCGATAATATTTCTGGGTTTTGTGATTTAATTTGTTAGCGAGGATGAGATAAAAAATTTCTGGAAAAAATTTGAGGCTTTCTTATTATGTTGAAAGAGGTCAATATTTTACACCTTATTCGTTGGATTTAGGATAAATTAGTATGTCATAAGATTCAAGATCCTGTATACTTTTGTTTTTCCTAGTCCTTGAGCTGATATTTAGGAATTTTCCCGTAGTTTATTCTTTGTCCAGGGTGCATTGAACCCTGGAATTTGGAACAATAAAGTTCTTATGTTTAGTTAGGCTTTAAGAAACCATGGTTTGTAAAAATGAATTTCGGCAGTGAGTCGCTCCTGTACATCGTTCCTAAGGCTCGGGGTACTCTTAGGATAATTTTGGTAGACATTGTTGGATGGGATTGGATAGTACAATGGATTTGCATTTTTGTTTCTTCATTAATACTACCTAGATTGTTTAGCTCGTATTACCAAACTTCCTATTAATTCATTAATTGATGTAGTGGATAATCTTTTTGCAGTCAAAAAGCTTTACTGTTGTTAGGTTTGTCAAGTGATAAGTATGCATGCTTAATTCAGTTCTTAAATGACATGCTTTTTGTAATTTGCAGAACTCAACTCGAACCTTGAGCATGTCGAGATTAAAGTGCATTATACGTGGGCTGGATATAAAATCCTGTCTCTTCCTTCTCATGTTGGTCCCGACATGCTTCTTTGTTATATATATGCATGGACAGAAGATCACATATTTCTTGAGGCCTTTATGGGAATCACCACCGAAGCCCTTCAATGAAATTCCTCACTATTATCATGAGAATGTGTCTATGGAGAATCTTTGTAAACTCCATGGTTGGGGAATACGTGAGTATCCAAGGCGTGTTTTTGATGCAGTGTTGTTCAGTAGCGAGCTGGACCTTCTCAAGATACGATGGAAGGAATTGTACCCTTATGTTACAGAATTTGTACTGCTTGAGTCAAATTCAACCTTCACTGGGCTGTCGAAACCTTTGGTCTTTGCTGCTAATCAACAACAATTCAAATTTGTGGAGTCACGATTAACTTATGGGAAAGTTCCTGGGAGATTTAGGAAAGGAGAAAACCCCTTTATTGAGGAAGCTTATCAAAGACTTTCATTGGATTATCTTCTTAAACAAGCTGGTATCCAGGATGATGATTTATTGATAATGTCTGATGTTGATGAGATACCGAGTAGACACACAATTAATCTCTTGAGATGGTGCGATGACATACCCTCAATCCTACATCTTCGGCTGAAGAACTATTTGTATTCATTTGAGTTTCTTGTCGATTATAATAGCTGGAGAGCTTCAGTTCACAGGTATCAATCTGGCAAGACGAGGTATGCACATTATAGGCAGTCAGATGACATTTTGGCTGATGCAGGATGGCATTGTAGCTTTTGCTTCCGCCGAATTAGCGAGTTCATATTCAAGATGAAAGCTTACAGCCATGTTGACCGTGTGAGATTCTCTCATTTTCTGAATCCAAGAAGAGTCCAGAGAGTAATCTGCACAGGGGCTGATTTATTTGACATGCTGCCAGAAGAGTACAGTTTTAAGGAAATCATTGGAAAAATGGGACCTATTCCCCACTCTTATTCAGCAGTTCATCTCCCTGCATATCTTTTGGAGAACGCTGATAAATATAAATTTCTCTTGCCGGGAAATTGCTTAAGAGAACGTGACTGAATTAAATGGACCGTGTTTGTGTCTTTTTTGTAAAGGTTGAACTTTAGCTTTGGCTCCTGGCACGGCACAGGGTTTCATTGTCCAATTGATGACCGTGCTTAAATCCTTTTTTACCATGTGGTAAAATTGGACGTTTTCTTGGATTTCTAGAGTGAGTTATGTATATAACTTTTTCGTACAGTTGTTTTCTGTGCGGGATTTGGATGGTATACAGTATGAGATGGGAGTTTGAAGTTTGCTGCTCCAGATTAGGAATTTCCGATGTGGGACTAACTTCTCAAATATTATTGCAAATCGTGTCGCTTACTTTCTAATTTTGACTCTCTCGAGGTACTTGACAATTTATTTTCTTGCCATGCTTTGCTTTTCACTTTGCCTTGGTCGAGCCAATGAATGTAGTATCGAGTTCTTGTAGAACTGCCTGCCTCCCCCTATTTTTTATTATCTCGAGTTGTTTAATGTAAAAGGTCATATGAATAGGGAATCTGATACCCTTTTAATTATTTATGTGACATTGTTATGTTTCGAGGTTGGCGTGTCCGGATATGCTCGAGAACATTAGTCATTTGACTTGCTCATTACATCATATGACACTAGCTCTGTCTGGTGCTGGTAACATACAAGGAGTTAATTAAATGATCAATCATTAGTGCTTATCTTTGGTTACCACTTGCTCATCCATAATTAAAATGTTACTAATTGATCACTCACATTTAAATAAAGTTATTGATCGATTACTCGTATCAATTTCATCCATTCACTTGGACAAAAAAAATCTTGTGACAGATGAAAATCCTACATGACGATATTAAAAATTGGCATCTTGGAAAAACACCCACTTTCAGAAATTGGAGTTTCATTTATCTAATTTTTCCCTAGTTTCAATACTGCTACACCGTCTCCTACCCTTTTCTGCATTAATTTCATCCATCAACTTATAAAACCCTAGCTGAGTAATAATCAATTCTCAGTATCAATCAATAAGCGATAATGACGGAGCACTTGGCCTCCATTTTCAGAACCGAGAAGGACCCTGATAATTCTTCATTTTACTTCCAAGATTGGTGCTTGCTGCCATGTATGTACCACGGTCGGACATGGGTCATTTTTCTGTTACATAGTTGCTGGTTTTTATTTTTTTAAGTAGCTACTGAAGGGATAGAATTTAGTACCTGTTTACATCAAGAATGAGAGAAATGTAGGAAGGATCATACACATATACAGATATGGAGAACAGATGGTTAACATATGAAATCCAGTAAGCAAAAGGTTGGCTCATTTTCTCAACGAACTTGGGAAGGAGATTGTTTCTTGATTTGGGACTAAATTTTACGAGAAGCTGATTTGGTGAAGAAATTGACTAGGGTTTAGCTGTAAAGATTGGGGAAATTAGAAATTGGACGGATGGAAAAGAAAAAAAAAAAAAAAAACAATTCTTCCAATAATAATAATAATAATAATAAATGTTGAATTGATTTTATGTTGTCCATGCTGTCATTTTTAACACCATTAACAACCACGAATCTACCATGTGGAATCCAAGTCGAGGAATAGAATTGATATGGATGATGGATGAATAACTTTTTTTTAATGTGGGTGAGTAATAAGTAGCATTTTAATTTTGAGTGAGCAAGTAAGCATATATGTAATGAAATTTATTGTCAATTTCATGGATTAACAGTACGAGGAAATCTGAACATCATGCAACTGAATTTTTCATTGTAATTTTTGGTCCATTTGTATCTTCATTCAATTTAATTTAATTTTTTTTCCCCTCCTGACTATAGTCTTTGTGAATGAAAATGTACATTAAGGGTACGTCTGTTCGAACTTTTATTTATTATAGAAGAGTTTTTTAAAGAAGTTTAGGCTATAAACCCCCTCTCCTTTATTCATCTAGATGGTCTATCAGTTGCATAATGTTTCAAAGTTAGATGGGTTTTGACTATTCGATCTCGTCATCTAAATTTATGAAGGCGTGAGAATAAATTATATTGACTCAAATTTATTCAAAACTGAGCTTACTCTAGTACCCTAACTTCTAATATAAGATACCCTTTTTATCTAGTCGCTTCGCTTAAATATAGAGTTTTGGATTGATATGGTAAAGAGAGAGCTTTTTGTTTATATCCTTTGGTTTAAAAGAAAATTTGATGCAGATTTGACGGAAAGTGCATGATATATGCATGAACTATATGTTCTTGTAATATATACATTCATTTTTAATGATCGAAAACAATATTTGTTGGAGAAATTTCACCGGGTTGTAGTAGAAATCACGAAACATGAACCGGCAACGCCAAAAACAAGATAATCACGAACTTGTATCAACGAATTACTTGAACACGATATCATTGTCCTCAAACGATATTTGCCCCTTCTCCTATTAATTTTAGATGTTTCGAAGATTGATGGCAAATGGTTTGTAGGATTTTAACAAGCCTTAATAAGAATTAATCACCAAAGTACAAGTGAAAATCCTTGAAAACTTGAAGAACACAAGGGTTGAATACGAATATGAATGAACAAATATCTTTGATTGTGGAGTAATATGGAATCTCTAATGTTTTTTATGTGTGTAGCCTTCAACATAAGCCAAAAGTTACCGAATTCAAACTTGCAACGGCCACAAACCGATCTCCAACGGTTGGTTTTTAAGTACCATGCGACCGCATGATACAAATCCATGCATTCGCATGGTTCATGTGAATCGAGGCCCTTTGCCTCGATATGTGGCTATGTGACCACATGGCTAGCAGCACCATGCGGTTGCATGGTGGTTTTTTTTTCCGGCCATTTTCTCGTATTTTCATTCCTATATTGATTTGTTGATTTTGAACAACCATTTTCCAATAATCCCCCACTTGTTTAAAATTAACAAGGTCTCATTTCATAGTATACAATACTTATACATAATAATTAGATATCTTTTGATTTGAATCTAACCATAGTGTAATTCAAACAAAGTATAGTCGAAATCAAAGGTAGCATGTAACTTTGAACCAGTTATTCCATATGACAATACCGGTAATAATACATACACAAGTATCACGTGTTCTCAAATTCATCACAACTCGCTTAGCGCTATTATGGCATTGCGCTTATTCTTTTCAACAATTTTTTAAGAGAGAAACTCCAATTCTCTATTAAGGTAGGACCACCTTGAAGATTGTTTAGGTGAAGTTCTTCCAGTACCTTTATTATTTTTAGAGGTACTTGTGTTTTGACATTGAACTTCATTAAGAGTTTTAAGCTCAACCCTCACATTAGTAACGAGCAGCATTATTTTCATTAAGATAGGGTTATCACGGATTTAAATAATACTGCAACCATCCACATATTGAATGACTTGTTAGTACCCTTTGAACCCGTGAATTACCTTTTGAGTAATGACAGGTAGGGTTGCCATCATTTGTGAAATTTTTAGTTAAGGAGTTTCAACCTCATCTTACTCGAAGTAGACGTCACTAAATCTTTATTTAGTACTTTAGTTAAAGGATTCGCTAAATTCTTAATTGACCTTACATAATTTAGGGAAATTATTCCATCTTTGATTAATTTCCTTGTGTAGTCATGTCTCATACTCATATGTATAGACTTTCCATTGTATACTTTATTGTATGCCTTTACTAATGTGGCTTGACTATCACATATGATAGGTATTGAAGAAATGTTCTTTGATCCCAAAGGTATCTTATAAAGGAGATCATTAAGTCACTTAACCTCTTTCCCGATTTCCGATAGGGCTACAAATTCAGATTCCATGGTCGAGTGTGTTATGCATGTTTGTCTCTTTGATTTCCAAAAACAGTACCTCTTCCAAGAGTGAACGCCTAACCCGAAGTGGATTTACTCTCACCTACTCTAGATATCCAACTAACGTCGGTAAATCCTTCCAATACCGTCGAGAATTTAGTTATATTGCAGGTTCAGGTTCTTGATTTTCTTTAAGTATCTAAGAACTCTTCCAATGGCCTTCCAATGATCGTTACTTGAATTGCTAGTAAACCTGCTAAGTTTACTTATAGCATAGGCGATGTTCGGTCTTGTGCATTGAACTGCATACATAAGACTTCCTATAGCACTAGCATATTCAAATTGAGCAATTGCTCTTCCAGCATTCTTTACAAGTTTTGAACTTCGATCAATTGGGATAATATATTCTTTTATGTTCAAGTGTTTGAACTTGTTTATCACATTCTCAATATAATGTGATTGACATAGGTGATAACCCCCACTAGTTTTTGTGACTTTGATACCTAAAATAGTATCCACTTGATCAAGATCATTCATTTTGAATGTGGAAGATGGAAACCTCTTTGTTTCTTCTATACCGTCCATGTGATTACTCATAATTAACATGTCGTCAATATATAAATATATAAATGTCACATAATCATCATACACTTTAGAATATAAACATCTATCTACGATATTATGTTTAAATCCGAATGATGTTATAGCTAAGTCAAACTCCTTATGCCATTTCTTAGGTGATGTTTCAAACCTTATAAAGATTTTACTAATTTGCATACCTTATGTTCATTTTCTGGTAGAACAAACCATTCGGTTTGCTTCATATAGACCTCCTCATCGAGATTCCCATTTAAGAATGTCGTCTTAACATCCATTTGATGAACATGCAAGTCATATATTGAAGCTAAAGCGAATAATATCCTAATCGATGTTATTCTAGCTACCGGTGCATAAGTATCAAATTATTCAATTCCTTCCCTTTGTCGATATTCTTTGGCTACTAGTCTAGCCTTAAATATATTTAGAGAACCATCAACATTATATTTTCTCATAAATACCCATTTACATTCAATAAGTTTGGATTCGGGTGGAAAATCGACAAATTTTCAAGTTTTATTAGACATTATCGAATCCATTTCATCTTTAATTGCATCTTTCCAGATAATGCTATCACGAGAAGCCATAGCTTCTTTATATGTTTTAGGGTCGGTTTTCATTTGTAAAACAAAATTGTTCTTACAACATTCAACTCATTTCCTTTTACTAAGTAAAAGGATATAAGTTGAGAATCAATTTCATCCGGTCTTAAAGATTTCTCAACTCGAGTTCTTTTGCTTCTTCGTGGTTCACTAAACTCATTAATATTTTTAGAAGACATTTCATCACGTGTTCCACTTAAGATAGAAATATTTTCAATATTTTCCCTTAATTCATTATCCAATGATAACGAATTTTTAAAGAACTCTACATCACTTGATTAGACAATCACATTGATCTCCAAGTTTAGCAATTTATAAGATTTGCTATTATTAACATATCCAACAAAAGTACATTTAATGCCTCTTGGACCCAATTTGGTCGCAGTTGGATTTGTGTTCTTGCAATAAGCAAGGCACCTCTACACTTTGAAGCATCCAATGTTCGATTTTCTTCTTTTTCACAATTCATAAGGAGAAACATTTGTATGTTTAGAATGAATCCTATTAAGTATCATTCATGTACTTAATAAAGTTTCACCCCATAAGTTAAAAAGCAACTTAGCATATATAAGCATGACATTAATCATTTTAACTAATGTTTTATTCTTCCTTTCAGCCAAACCATTTTGTTTGGGAGTTTTAGATGTAGAACTTTGGTGAATTATGCCATATTGTTCACAAAACGAATTAAAATCACTAAAAAAGTACTCACCACCCCTATAACTTCTCATGGTCTTTATTTTCTTATTTAAGTGATTTTCAACTTCATTCTTATAAGTCTTAAACAAATCAAATGTCTCATGTTTATGTTTCATCAAATAAATATAGGTATATCTTGAGCAATCATCAATAAATGTTATGAAATATCTATTTTCACCTCTTGTTAGCATGTCATTGAATTCACATATATCGGAATGAATTAATTCTAATATGCTAGAAGTCCTCTTAATACTTTGATAGGCTTTTTAATCATTTTTGTTTCTACACATGTTTTGTATTTAATGACATCATTTTCATCATATGAAATTAAGTCACAATTTCTCATGCGTTTTATGATACTTTTACTTATGTGACCTAATCTAGTATGCCATAAAGAAAATAAATTAATTATGTAAGCAAAATCAACTTTATTTATTTCATTGTCAATAGTGCAAAGTTTGACCATTTCTTCACACGAATAATTATTTCCAACAAATTTTCCTTTAAGTGATAATACAAGTTTATCGGATTCAAAGACACTTTTAATCCCCAGTTTTCCCAAAAAATTTCCACTCACTAAGTTCCTACTCATATTCGGAACATGTAGTACATTTGTGAGAGGAACATTTTTACCAAAAGTGAAGATAATTTCTATACTTCATTTTTCAATTATTTTGGACCACATCTCGTTACCCATTTGGATCTCTTGGTCTCCATCCACTTTATTGTATGTTTTGAACAAAGATTTGTCATGTGATACGTGCACCGTGGCGCAAGTATCATACCACCAACTAGGAACCTTTCTCTTAATTGCATTTATTTTGCTCACGGTGGTTACAATTTTGTCTTTTTGGATGGAATTCACTTTACTCTTGGAGTTGTTGTGTTTCCCGTGTCTACAATCTTTTGCGTAGTGTCCAGATTTCCTATAAACAAAGTATCCTCCTTTGGTCTTCTTCTTGAACTTATTAAGGTTCCTCGAAGGCCTTTTGTTGGCAGTTCGAATTTTTCTACAGCATTTGCTTTGGAAGTGCCCTCATGAGAATCACTTTTCTCACGCATTCTCGACTCTTCCTCAATTCGAAGATTTTTTGCAATTGTTCCAAAGAATAATTTTCAGAACTATGCATTATCTTCTTCCGGTATCCTTTCCAAGTTTCGAAAAGTTTGGCAATTATAACCACCACTTGAAATGTCTCCGGTATTTCAATTTTCACTCTCTTCAACTTATTGACAATTATTTGCATTTCATGTATTTGGGGAAGAATGTGAATATTCTCTAAAAATTTAAAATCGAAGTACTTAGAAATTAAAATTTTCTTTGTACCTTATTTTTCCGCTTTATACTTACTTTCGAGCGCATCCCAAATTTTTTTTGTCGAAGTTGTGTTTGTATATAAGTCATACAAACGATCCGACAATGCATTGAGAATGTGACCGTGGCATATCAACTCATCTTCTTGGAGCTTTTGTCTTTCATTTCTAATCGCTTTGATTTCTCCATTTATTGGTTCTGGTAGTGGCGCCAATTTTAGATCTAAAATGTAGAAGATCTTTAGTGCAGTAAGGAGAAACTTTAAATTATCTTTCCATCTCGTGAAATTCGTTCCATCGAACCGATCCAACCGCACTAAGTCTTGATTCATTAATTTAATTGTCACCATAGTTTTTTCGCTTTCCATCGCAAAAATATCGTTTGAGATTGTTGGAGAAATTTAACCGAGTTGGAGTAAAAATCACGAAACATGAACCGGCAACGTCAAGAACAAGATAATCACGAACTTGTATCAACGAATGACTTGAATACGTTGTCTTCAAACGATATTTGCCTCTTCTCCTATTAATTTGAGATGTTTTGAAGGTTGATGACAAATGGTTTGTAGGATATTAACAAGCCTTAACAAGAATTAATCATCAAAGTATAAGTGAAAATCTTTGAAAACTTGAAGAACACGAGGGTTGAATACGAATAAAAATGAACAAATTTTGATATTTGATTGTGGAGTAATATGGAATCTCTAATGTTTTTAATGTGTGTAGCCTTCAATATGGATCCAATATTTATAGGCATACACCACATGCACGAAATGGTGCCAACATATAAGCTAAAAGTCATCAAATTCAAATTTGCAACGGCCAAAAATCGACCTCCAACATTTGGTTTTTAAATACCATGCGGTTGTATGGTTCATGCGAACCGAAGCCCTTTGGCCTTGGCAGCAGCACCATGCGATAGCATGGTGGGTTTTTTTTTCAGCCATTTTCTCGTGTTTTCATTTCTATATTGATTTGTTGATTTTGAACAACCATTTTCCAACAATATTTACAAGAGAAGAGAAAATAGTAAAAGGGGGAGGAATTAAACCATTCAAGATGAAATTATTAATATTTTGACTAAAATTTGCATCTATTGTTTTGTCATTTTTGTCAAATGCTTTCAAGAATTATTATTATTATTTTATTTTAGTTTTGTGGGGCGGGGGGGGTGGGGGGGGGAATAAAAGACAATTTTTTTCCCCTTTTATATAACATTTATATATTAACATCCATTTATATAAAATTAATTTATTCAAAGTTTTGACTCCTTTATCCTTTCCCTCTTCAAATTCGTAACGGCTCAATTCAAACTGTTGACCCATTAAAAGCTCTAACTACCATCAACCATGCAATGTATACCCCACCCATAAAATTTCCTGCCGTTAAAGTAGTGATCTTGAACCTAAAGAACAAGAAAACCAGTCCAGTGGAGTTCTATTATCAAGAAATTCAATTCAAGGCACAAAAAATTGTCACCATCAGTATGCAATCTTTAACCTCACTTTCCGATGGAGGAAATGGAAATGCTCCGCCTCCTGGGTTGGTGGGTCTGAATCAACTGCCGCCGCCTGAGGTGGTGGGTATCAGTGTAAATGGATCTTCATCTTCTTGTTCTTTGAAAAGAAAGAGACCTGCTATGATTGAGATCCCAAGTGTTCTCCAAGAAATTAGTACAGATGTTTACAAAAGCTCTGATATTCAGGTTCAATACGATAATACTGTGTGCTTCAGTGATTCTGGTGTCGGCGTTTTTTCATTCAAAGGCAAGAAAAAGATCATGGAAGATGCCCACAAGATTTTTTCTACCTCAAATATGAAAAAGGTAAAATTAAATCCACTTTGCAATTTTTTTTATATAACGAATACATCTTTTTTGGGATGTTAAATGATTTATTTTGATTGTGTAGAGGTTTTTCGGGGTTTATGATGGGCACGGTGGGACGAAAGCAGCAGAGTTTGTGGCAAATAATTTGCATTTAAAGATTTTTGAGATGTTGGAGAATTGTCCTGATGATAAAGCAAAAGAAGAAGCTATAAAGAAAGGGTATTTGAAAACAGATGAAGAATTCTTGAAAAAGGTAATTTGTAAAGGAAATTCTGAGTTTATATGTAATTTCTATTGTCAATTAAGCTGAGAATATTGAACTTGAATCCGAAGAAAATTTATATTTTAAAAACATTCTGGGAAGTTTTCTGTATGTTTGGAGTTGAAAATTGTTGTCTTAGTTGCATATATCCGTTGATGATACGATATCTGTGTGGCTTGGTTGTCTCATATTCATGGAAGCATTTGATTTAGAGAAACTTGGACTGAATAAGCAAGAAATATGTATATTATTTCTCCCATCAAGTTCAGATGTAGAGACCCTTTCAATTTAGTGACTTGTCATGACGATTGACAAACTATAAAGGTTGCTATTTGCTATAAACAAAGATATATTTCGTCTTGGAAAGAGACCTTTTCAAAACTTATACATATTACCTATTAGATGTGTTTAGTCTATACAAGACCAGCAGATAAATTCAGAAGAATACTAAATTGTAAGACTTAGTCTGAATCTTGTGATATGCCATTTGTTCACCTCTTTTTTCCTCAAGTAAAGCTTGGGTATTTAGTCATAAAGATAGTTCGGTGAGAGATTCTAATCACTATTTGCAGGTAGTGAACAAATTCGATGCATTATTGTGCACTATATATTTGCTAGACATATAAAACAGGAAATTAATGAGTAACCTAACAGTGACAAATTTTAGGTATAATCTCATAGTTCTACTGTGTATTTTGGCAAAGCTTAATTACACACATTCCACGACAAAGAAGGAACAAAATCCTTGACCTGCATGGAACTGGTTTTCAACATCATTCAGCAGGTTATTCGAATCTAAGCGTGGAAATAAATGGCATCAAATGCTGGCCAAATTTCCTCTTAGTTCACTGAATATCAATAGTGTGTTCATATTCAGTCTCAATCTATAATGTTTTGACTTTGTTTAGTTGCAATCTTTTTTGCGTTTCCATTACAACAAAGAATTACTCACTGATATAGCGGGGAGTTTTAGGGATTAGGTAGTGGTGCTTGTTGTGTTACTGCCATGATTGAAGGACGGGAGATGATAGTTTCAAACTTGGGAGATTGCAGAGCAGTTCTATGTAGAGGTGGAATAGCTGAAGCCCTTACAACAGATCATAGAGCAGGACAAGAGAATGAGAGGAAAAGAATCGAGGACAAGGTACTACTAAAGCTTATCTTGAAACCCTTAAATGTAACTGAGTGGAACTAATAAACACTTCTAGCATGTCTGGTATCTGATTGGATATTATAGTAGCTACGATTTTATTGCTTTCTTTCCCTTTAAAGTAACCTAGTAAACAAGTCATTTGAGTTTTTCATTATGCAGGGAGGATATGTGGAGATTCATAGGGGAACTTGGAGAGTTCATGGAATACTCTCTGTTTCAAGAAGCGTTGGAGATGCTCATCTGAAAGATTGGGTATTTGCCGAGCCTGATACTAAGGTCATATCTTTGACTCCGGAGATGGAATATCTTGTCTTAGCATCTGATGGACTCTGGGATGAGGTAACGCTTATTTGACTTGAACTAACAATTATTTTCAGACTGAAGTAAAGTTTAACTGTTGATTTAACTGAAAGCACTTTCTATAGCTGGCATTTTATATATCAACATTAAGTTGCATCTTCTTTATTTATGCACGTCTATGCAGAGGTAGTTTAAATACATGTGACATGTTTATTATAGAGAATTGGATAGCACTAGACAATCTTCAATCATGTCTGATATTGCATACAAACCTATGTGTGGTGATGTGGGTGGGGTGGTGACTGCTCCCGTAACATTTTAAAGTTTCTTCAAGTCTATGTAGAAATGTAATTTATATTTTAAAAAATATTACATACATCTACATTTGCCCCTTTCAACATTTGTTCGCCACACATTGTGAAAATTTGGCTCAGTTATCTAATCTATCAGATTTTGTATTGAGTAACAGATATTTGTTTTCTTTGAACTTCAAATTGTTAATTTTCTTAATGTTATTAAGATGAAGAAAATTACAATGTGCGCAGAAACCTCTCTTTATTCTTCTAATTGAATGTGACTCAATTGATTCGATAGGTTGGAAATCAAGAAGCAATAGATATTGTGACGCGCTCATGTTCTATTGAAAAGAAACTGCAATCAATGGGAGCTTCTCTGAAACAGAATAGCAATGTATACGACTGTTTAATTACCAGTCCTTTGTCAAGATCACCTAGAGTTTCGCTGGTTAAGTTGAAGAGAAGACAACAGCCTACAAGCCAGAAAAAGACTAAGGTTTGCAGGAAACGAAGTGAAGATGGATTCAGTCGCGAAAATGAAAGTCCTCCTTCTAAGGTTCGTCGAATTTCAATGGTGAACCAAATCAAGTTAAGGAATCCACTTTCGAAGAATGAAAATAATGACTTTGCTGAGAAACTGGATTCTTCTGGTGGACTTTTGGCTGCTTGCAAGGAGCTTGCTGGACTTGCTGTAACTAGGGGTAGTATGGATGATGTTACAGTGATGATAATTGATCTGAAAAATTATAGAAGTTAAGACTTTTTTTCGACTTAAATGTTTAGCGATATCTCTATTTTATTAGTGATCAAAGTACTTCATAATCTAACTTTACACTACAAATTCGAAGGTTGTAACATAACATTGATTTCTTAATATTAGTGAAAGTAAGCTCGTTGAAGTTGATATTCGAATATGTTCACGGGAAAATTTGAGAATATATTTTATTTTTTTATTTTAATCAGTATTTTATTTATAATTGTGGGAGTTTCTTTATTTATTATTTAGTTGAATAGGTCAATGTAGTTATGAGATTATGAGAGCATTTTGTTGCATTAGTGAGTTGTCTCTATTTCTTAGGACTAACCTGGATTATCATACTTATTTTGGAATGAATTATTTTGCAGTCTTATAGTTTTTATTTGGAGTTCATTGATTCCTCGTAAGCCAAAATATTGGGAGATTATCTTCAAATTAACTCAATCTTCTTCTCTTTTCGTTTTATTTTGTAACAAGGAATTCGTATCCACAAGAAAGAAAGGTTGCGGGGGGAAGGGGGGGCGTGGGGAGGAAGATGACTATTTTTCCAATTTTTACGTTTTTATCATTTTTATTTTTTTCTCAATTCTTTTCTTTTCTTTTTTCTTTAGGAAGACGACTATTTTTCCAATTTTTACGTTTTTATCATTTTTATTTTTTTCTCAATTCTTTTCTTTTCTTTTTTCTTTCATGAATTTTTATTTTCATTTTTTAAAATTTTAATTAAGAATAATACATTGACAATTTTACTGTTTTTAATTTTTGAATAGGTCAGTCAGATGAGATGAAGCCATGTTTGAGTTTTTTTTTTTTTTTTTTTTCCGAAAATTCATTTTTAACTAAACAACCCGAAATTAATCTATTTGGAAGAATGTCATTATTTTTTCAACAGTCGAGGACACAATTGTTCAAATGAAAGGTCTGCATTTGCAAATTACATGGAAAGTTGGGGGACCTATGCTTCTATATTACAAACTTAATTTCCAGATTTGTTATGCTTATAAGAGAGGGGTACTTTTAAATTTGATTCAGTCAAAGGTTCAAAATTCCACTTTGATTTTGAAAATCTTGAATATTATCACATTGACATCTTGTATGGTAAAAGACAAAGATACTCTTAAATGTATTATGCAATTACAAAACAATGTATTGTTGAAAGGACTTTATTACCTTTTTAGTTAATAATTGAAAATCAAATACTTCCTCACTTATAAAACTTCAAATGAGCTTCCAACATAGAAAAAACTCTCATCTTTCATCTGCTTGAATCTCAAAAAACTTTCAAACTTTGAAGCCGAAAATTTTTTTCATATCAATTATTTCAAATCGGTAAACATATTTACGCATGTTTAATTTCGTTTTCAGTAAATTAGTATACGTTTGAATAGAGAAATTTTATTTCGACATAATAATAGTTAGTATAAATTTTTTTTAACAAATGTTACCTATCAAAAAAAATAAATTTGAACAGATCTATAATTTTTTTTCTTTAGAACCGTAGAAGAAAAAAATTCATACGCAAAACAGCCAAACAATCGGCTGCTAGCAATGATTTTTGTTGGCACTGATTTTTTCTTGTAATTAATAAACGAAGTTGATTAAATAATTATACATATGAATTTTTTTGTTGTAAGTTATTAAAAAAATTCTATTTCCTCATGCAGATATGATAATCCCCATCTGTTATTTCGGTGATTTCGAATTGAATGAAAATAATCGGTGGGAATGGAGATGGACGAGTGACATATGTAGTTGTATTGCAATTCTCATAACAGAGAGTATATCATACTTAGAAGTGTACCACGATTTGAAAAATAAGCTGAATGTCGATCAATCTAAATACGATATGCAATTGAGATATCTATTCAACGGTTATGGGGATTCATCCATTCCGATTCCACCGGTATTCGTTAGTAATGAAGTTGAATTGAATTATCTATTAGAATTGAATAAAATGCATCAGACTCCGACAGTTCTTGGTGTGACTTTAGTTAAGAAGGATGTTATTGAAGGTGAACGCAAAGATTCAAATAGGGCGGATAATAATGATCAAGGTTTTTGGGAGACAGTGGAGATAGTTCTTGCGGATGATGTGATTATTCCTTAGACAGTTGCTCCTGATCGTAAGGTCGCTATTACGCACAGAATTTCGTTGACAGTTGAAGACAATGAGAATATAAATGAGTTTACAAATGAGAATTTGATTGCTTTATCCCGACAGAGACATGAGCCGGGTGGGAGCTCACAAGTTGGAACAAGTGGACCATCCTCTAATTCTTCCCGTGTGGCTCTCGATGATGAGGACTTGTATGTTGAGCAACTGTTTAAAATCAAGAAAGATTTGCAGGAAGCTGTGCACCGGCTAACATTAAAATATAACTTTGAGTTCAAGATAAAGAAATCAAACAAGTCATTGCTGACAGTTGTTTGCGTCAAAGACAGTTGTAATTGGCGCTTGAGAGCAACCAGTGCTTCGTATTCGCAAGTATTCACGGGAACATACTTGGAAAGTGAGAATTCTTCGAAATGATCACAGGCAAGCTCGAGTGTAGTTTATTGGTCGATAGATAATGCACAAGTATCAGGACTCACGGACGATCTACAGACCTTCGGACACTAGTAACGAAGTCCGTCGAGAGTATGGAGTGGTCATGAGCTACTAGAAAGCCTAGAAGGCCAAAGAATGTACGTTGGAGGATTTAATAGATTCGGCTGAGGAGAGCTATGCTAAATTGGCCAAGTATTGCCATAACATGGGGACAACTAATCCTGGCACGGTATTTTTTATTGAGACGGGGGGCGATAATTGTTTTAAGTATTTTTTCATGGCTCTCGGACAATGTATTCGGGGTTTTCGAAATGCAACGCGACCCGTAATTATAGTTGATGGTACAACTCTGAAAGCTAAATATCAAGGCAAATTAATTATTGCTACATGTCAAGACGCCAACATCCAAATTACTTTATTGCATTCGGCATAGTCGACAACGAGAATGATCTGTCCATGCGTTAGTTCTTTTCTAAACTGAGGAAAGTGATCGGGGAAGTCAAAGACCTTGCCTTTGTAACCGATCGGGGACAGTCTATAGTAAACGATATCGCTGAAGTTTTTTCCGAGGCACATCACGGGTATTGCATGTAGCATATATAAGGTAATTTGAAGACTAGGTATTGGGGCAAAGGCATCGTTTTATTGTTCAGGAGAGCAGCCAAAACTTACAGTGTTGAAGAGTGTAATAAGTTTATGTTCGAGATAGGAAGTAAATCATTATCGGCGTTGGAGTATCTGATGAATATGGGGATTGGACATTGGGCGCGGTCATACTTTCCAGGACGTCAATACAACATGATGACATCGAATAACCCGGAGTCTCTCAATGCATTGTTTAAGAATTATCGAGAGTTACTAATTCTCGCAATGATTGAGAACATTCGTAACAAGCTGCAACAGTAGTTTCATGACCGACGTGCGGTATCACAGAATTGCACTAGCATGTTGACCCCAGCTTAAGAGGAGAAATTCTTTAAGGCGGCAGAGGTTGCAAAGAAGTTGAATGTGGAAGCACTAGATGAGTTTCGCTTCTCCGTGCAATGTACATGTAATACGACATATATGGTGGACTTAACTGATAACACTGCACTTGTACGAGATTTCAGTTGGAGAGTTTTCCACGTGAGCATGCAGATGCGGTGACCATGTATCGAGACTTTGCAGCGAGAACGTTATGCTCTTTGTATTATACAACTGAGTTTTAGAGAACAACATATGCTGAGACTATATTTCCTCTGCCGAATGAAGTCGAGTGGGAAGTTCCCGAGCACATTCTTCCGTTTCATAATTTGTTGCCACCAGCGTTGAACCGCATGGTCCTGGACGCCCAAGTACATCTTGAATACCATCTATCAGAGAGTTTCCTCGACCGCGTAGGTGTGGCAAGTGCAGAGCCATAGGGCATACTCGACAATTTTGTACCAGTCAAATTCCTCTAAATGACAATTAGACATATACGTTACATGAATAATATTTTCGTTTACTTTACACTATTCAATATTTGTTCTTCATAAATGTTCAATTTTCAATATTTATTCTTGATAAATGGTATTTATAATGATTCATATGAAAAAAATAGTACCATACTCGGCATATGTGTAAAATAACAAAAAATTAACTTACAAAAAAATAATTAAATTTTCAATGTGAATGTTATATATATTGAACACAAATTTACAATTATTTCATAATCACAAAAAATAATTAAATTTACAATTCGAATGTTACATATATTTAATACAAATTTATGGGTCACCATTAAATTCGAACAAGTCACAAGCTAGCTTCTTTCTCCAGTTCTGTATACACGATTGGTTGATTACATCAACATTATGTCCTATACTTTAAAATTCAAAGTAGTTAATGGCAAATTTGCCGTAGTCGCTGCTACAATTGAACAAGAATGGATCAGTTCAGTACTGCATAGCTAAAAACTAAATCTGAAAGATGAAAACAAAGTTCAAACACTTACCTTACAGACTATCGCGCTGTCGTCGTGTTCTGAACAATCCGCAATCTGTCATGTACAGTCATCCCCACTCGTCTGGCCATCATAGGAACAATGACGGCTACGGACTCTAGATTTTGATCCAACTGGCCTTGTGTTAAATATGAATGGTCTGGGTCGTACACATATATAGTCGTGTCAGCAAAAACAATCTCCAGCATAACAGAGTGATTATTGATGCACGCTAGAATGTACAGGTGTGTACAAGCCTCCCATGATTTTTCCCTGACACTCGCGACATTCCTATGACCCACTCGAGCATATATTCTGGCACCGTGTACTCGTTACCCATAAGTTGGAGCGACTGATACTCTCTGATAACGGCACGCAGGAACTTAGTGTTTAATATGACTTGACCATGGACGTCAAAGGATCTTGGATGTCTTTGAGCTCGATCTCGCAGCAAGTCCATGGCCAGGTCGATATGCTGCACCAGGAAACAAAAAAAAAGTATGAGCTATTCATTTAATAAACACAAAGTGACGAATACATAAAAAATACGAAATGAATAGTTCACTTACATCATTGGCGAGCCAAGCTCCCGAAGTGGTGATATCGTGGAACCACTTGTAAGCGCGCCATCTCCTCTATCCCCCCATCACCTACCGGCTAAATCTTCTCTAAGTGCCGCTAACGTATCCTGAAGGTCGACAACGCAAGACCGTAGCATTCCAACATCATGGGATAGATCGTCAACCCTCCCCGTCAACTCTCGTCCCAGATCATCGACCCTCTCCATCAACTCTCATCGTAGCGCTCCGACCTCTTCCACTATAAATCCAGTCAGACGGGCATACAAATCATTACTGTGTGCCGGAGATACACAGGGGAGGTGTCTAGACGAGGGAGAATGAGATACCCTCGACGGTGGCGATACTTTCGATGGAGGTGATGCCAATGGCGGCGACGATGCCCTCAGTGGAGGTGATGCCAATGGTGGCGACGATACCCTCGACAGAGGTGATCGTCGATCAGCTGGACCGCCCTCCTACATAAATAACATTAAAAATTATTCAATAAATTTATACGTCGACGATATTCAATAAATTATATTTAATTCACATATCCAATCTCGGTCCAGGCTCAGATCAGACATCTCCTTGTCTTGGGTGTGCGGAACGCCTAAATCCCGCACAAGACCCGGAGCCTCCTCTTCCATCGACAACATCAACTCAGGTATGACTTCAAGCTGACATATTGACATTTCAACTAGTTAACTATCATGTAAACAGATTTTAAACTACGTATAATATAAATCACAAATGCATAATACTTACCTGAGGATCATCGAGGAGGGCCGATAACTGTTTCCCAGTGGGACATCTGTCCGCTCGCAAAGCGGGCTCCCAGTACAGGGACTGTCTCATACACCCAAATTTATAACACATACACTTATTATGCATAAATGTAATATACTAAAACTTTAACTTTAATTATATTAAACATTTACCTACACTGCTAAGGGCAATCCATATGTATCGTATTTACGCATTGATCCCCTAGGCCTCGAGTGTGATCTGGTGAAGACATGTACGATGCCTTCGTAGAATCTTCGGCCCCATAGATAATTGTTGAACACATCAATGTTGTCAATAACTTGCAAATGAAAAATGTCGATGACAGTTTTCTTGTGATGACACCTCATCGCACTCTTGAAGATGTAGACCAGCCCAAGTTTCAATCTATCTAGGATCTGGTCACACCCCCTGATCGCGACCATCAACTCGGGTAGAAGCATCGACCCATGTCCCTGAAAGTACGTCTCGTACAGTATATTGCTTCTCTCAATGGCTACAAAATCGCCCGTAATCCTTAGTCCAGTGATCAAGCTAAACTCATACATCGAGAAACTGACGACCTTGCCTCCGAGGTCGAAGTGGAGGGAATCGCGGTCGACTGGCCTCAGAATCAGACATAGAAATGCATCGATGATCTGTCTTGAGTACTACACCTCTCGCATCTGGTACAGTGGCCACAAGAATGACTGTCGTAGCATATCTCAGTCCAGTGATCAAACTAAACTCATACATCGAGAAACTGACGACCTTGCCTCCGAGGTCGAAGTGGAGGGAATCACGGTCGACTGGCCTCAGAAGCCGACATAGAAGTGCATCGATGATCTGTCTTGAGTACTACACCTCTCGCATCTGGTACAATGGCCACAAGAAGGACTGTTGTAGCATATCTCCGTGATGATTATCGAGCAGCTCCAACTTAGCAGTAAAACTCTCAAAACTACTGTTCAAGTAGCTTTCCCCGCCATCCGTCTCAACTCCCCATCTAAATATACTCCATCCTGCAAAAATTCAAATGTTAGAACATTGAACAAGAGATAATAAAATAACGCATAATCTCAAAAAATCAATGGGAACCGAATTCTTGACGCTAATAACAAAATAAATTCAATACAAATGTAAAAAATAATTAATTAAAATAAAATACAAATTAATGAGATTTTCAGCAAAAGGAAATTATTAATATTTAAAGAATACAAAAAAGTTAAAAATTAAAGATTAAATATATTTTCAAAAAAAATTAAAGAATGTAAATGTTATTTAAATAAATTTTAAAAAATTAAAGAATATAAAAAATAAATAAATAAATAAAATAATTATTATTTAATCAAATGAAAATTATAAAGAAAATTAATCTTTTATATTACATTTGGAAAATATATTTACAAAAAAAAATTAAAATTAAATAAATAACATGAAAAATAAATTGTTACTTTTAGATAATATTCAATTATATAAATAAAAGACAATTAAAAAAATAAATAAATAACATAATTATTAATTAATTAAAAAATATATTTAAAAAATTAAATAAATAAATAAATAAATAAATATATATATATATATATATATATATTTTTTTTTTTTTAAAAAAAAAAAAATTAAAATTTAACGGTCTTTGGGTCGAAACAGTTGGCCAAAGACTGTTTTGTCTGTTAATAACAGTAGGTCCAAGACTGTTAAACCCGACTGTTACAATTTTGTACGAGAAAACTAATCGAAATGGTTTCCCCCGGTGGTAGATAGTAATCGTTGATCCAAGTCACACGACGGTCGGCCGGTGGTTGATCAGAAAATGTGGCAATTCGGGCGTCGATTTTCTTTGGATCTCACAGTCGATTTCCAAATCAGTTTGTCAAGAATAAAATTGTCCTTTTGTGTCTAAAATTATTTTTTAACTTTTTCATTTTTTTTCATTGACTTAATGGGTCAAATGCCAATGTTATTCCAATAATTTCTGTGTATTTCCTTCTTGTAATCGGCCTATTATCGGTGCATCTCTCTTTCTCCATCTCTGGTGAGATCGCTATTTTCATCTACAAATCAGCACCTGGTATTCTTTCGAGATTTTTATATATAACGTATCTGTTTCACCCGATTTCTCTTTAATGTAGAAAATATCCAGTTTTGCACAGGGTAGTTTGAAGATTTTCCATAGAGAAGTGGATACTCACTGAAGTTATACTTCTAATTGCGTAAAAAAGTTACCTGAATTTTTTAACAGTAGTAGAACAATGTGATGAATAATCTACAGAACTTTTTTTTTCCCTCTGAATTTTGATTCGACAAACCCTTTCTATGCAGAGAAGAATTGAAGACTTGTATTATGTGCTTCTCAGTTTTCCTTCTTATTTGTATTAGAGATAAGTGGTGTTGGTCGTAGTCATTACTTAAAATAGATTTTTCTTATTCATACCGATTTATAAAATATATCTCATTTTCATAATTTGAATTAGCAGAAACTTATTTTGGATAAAATCAATTTCCTAAAGAAGTTTCCATTTCAAACATAAACCCTTGGACACAATTTGAATAGGAATAACAAACCCACTGAACAATGAATTCGTTAGCGAAGCGAGCAGGGATCCTTTTTACCCGTCCAAGTGCGGCTCTAGGCTCGGTAAATTGGGAGCTGCAGCAGTGGCGTGGCATCCGAGTGAAAGTGAGGAACAACAACCTGGACCAAGCCTTGACCCTTCTGCAGAGAAAGATGTGTTGGATATTGGTTAAATAAATTGAGAATTGAAAATCGATTAAAGTTCGTATCGAATTCGACTAAATACTCAAAAACTCGACTCAATCCGTTTAGGCAAAATTATTTGCCACTTCGCCGCTTCGGGGAGCACAAACGGGGATCGACCTGCCCGGTCAGGTCGCGAGGGTCGAGGGGGCAGCGCCCCTCGTGTGGGTCGGGGGCAACGCCCCCGAAAGAGAATTTTGATTTCTCTGCATGTATTGAAGGGTATATTTGGCATTTCGAAAATCAATATCGGATGAATGAGAAATTACGAAAAAGGCCTCAACCATTAGTGAATAGACACCTTTTCATAAAGGTGCACTGTTTGGAAAGGGAGCATGGTTTGGTCTCAACCATTTCGTCCACACCCCTTCATGGTCTATAAATAGGACCCTTTGGGTGTCCTATTCCTCACAGTTTGATATGCAAAAACGTCTCTCATCCTCTCTTCTATCCAAAATCAAAATCATTTCATTTATTTTGATTTTCTTTCATTTCATCTGTGGAGTACATAAGCCTACATTTGGTTCGTTGTACTTGTGTTTTGGAGTGCTACAAACACAAGTGTAGCCGTTGTATCTTGGGAGTCGATTGCCGAAATCCGTAGGCACCGTTGCGGGGCAAATTCGACTTAAGGACAAAGAGTCCAACTCTTGCCTCGGTTTTATCACCATCATTATACTTATTTCGGCGTCACTATTCACAAAATTCATCCAACAAGATGCAGTCCAGTGGGATCTTTGATAAAGAATGAGCAGACCCACCACATCAAGAGCTCAGAGAAGCGTGTGCTGGCAAGAAAGAATTTGGAGCGTAAGATTCGAGGGCAAGACCTTGCACGGAAGCTTAAAGCCATCCTCGTAAAAAAAGTCAGGTAAATTGAAAAAATTATTTTCATTGAATTGTGCTCTGTCACTAGTAAATACCGGTTTTACATAATACAATGCTAATGTTTGTTGTGATATGTTTTAGCTGTGAATATGATAAAGTGGTGATGAAAACTGATGATGTATTCTGCTGCAAATGAGAGAATTGAATTTTCACTTAAAGCATGATCAAATTGGAGTTGCCTGTTGTGTTATATTTAATGTGGAAAAACAGAGAATTTCATGAGTATTCTGTTATGCGTGAAAGAAAGGACGTTCTATTGAATTACAAATGAAATTGAGACGATGGAGTTCATTTTTCTTTTGTTTTTTGATGAGAAAAAAATTGTCACGTCTTTTATAGACAAAATATTAGAATCGAGACTTGGATTATGGGTATTGGTTAGAAAATGTTATATATAGATTTTGTACAAGAGAATAGATATGGTGAATGAGATGTTTATAGTAATTAAATTCTTGGAAATTACGAACGAGTATGATGTTTAGATTTGTAATATTAGCAAGCAAATTGGAATGCTGATGTTCAAGAAATGGAAAAAATTGGGACCAATAGAAAATTTTAATATTACAAGATAAGGCTTTTTCATAGTGCTAATGAGACTCCAAATGCCAAATGAAGAGGCTAAGTTCCTGCCCCCCAGGGCACATCCGAGTTGGTTGAACAATCACTTCGCTGGGACGCTGGAAGCAAGAGTGGAGAGTTCGATTCCTGGAGTTAACACTGGGAGCCATATGGAGAAGAAGCCATTGGTGTGAACAAACGCCCAGTGAGGAGAGCTCTCTTTGCGGAAGGAGTCCAAATGAGTTGTGGGAACCTGGGAGCCAACAAGGGCACATCCTGCGATTTACCTCCCTGAGCAGCTGAGGGGCCGGAGGTTCAGGGACAAGGATCTAGTCGGACGCAAGCCCGGACACCTTGTAAAAAAAAAAAAAAAAGAGGCTAAGTTCCTAGTTTCTATCTGGAACTCTGGTTTCCACATAAGCAGCTATTAGACTGACACTTGAGGGTTAAGTTAGTTTGTGAATTGAATTTTGAGTTAAGTTTCATTACATGATGCTAGCTGGTTGAATTATGGAGAGTTCTTCTTGCTAATTGAATTGAGATGGGTATTGGAATAGTTATAATTTGGTAGGTAAAAAATTAACCGGAATTCATTAAGTGAACAAGCATAGAGATTTTTTTTTAGCTGTTAAGAGAAAAAAGGGACAGGAAATTCACCAAGGCGAGAAGTATCCTTGTTGAATCCTAGTATCCTATAGCAAATGGATGATGAACAATCTCCGTTGGCTAGAAACTAAAGGAGGCTACAATCATCCGAATATTCCATTGTATTGAAACTATATTATGATATAAAAAATTGAAGATGCATCTCTCTCACTCTGATTGTGTCATTTTGGATGTATGTGAGGATAAATATGACAAAATGAGTTGACCGAAATATAAGTTACTAATGAGAATAAGTGTGAAGTTCAATAGTAAACAAAAGAATTAATTTTCAGAATACTTTTGGCTGCTGCCAGAGATGAAACCATTCACGTTGTGAACTATTAGAATCAATAATTGAGTGTCGAGATTCATATCATGTAGTCTTCTCTGTCCCCTATAATAGTCTCTTGAAGAGCTAGCAAGGCTGACAGTTTTATACAAAGGCAGCCTCTCTTTGAAAACATAGCCCAATTTCTTTTCTTACTTTTTGAGTAGAAAAGGAGTCAATGAATTCAAAAGAATTGAACAAGGAGCCGAATGAGGTGAATATCTCATGAACAAGGGGGACTTCTCTGTCAACTCAAGATTCTCCTGTTGACTTAATTTGTTGTACCAGGCTACATTCCAGATCCATTTCATAATTTTGATAAGCTTGTAGCTTCTCAACACATTCTCTAGCTCATGGTCTTTAGCCTTCCTTCCAAGGATGCGAAAAGTGTGCATAATCCAACGATATATGATTAAGCAAGAACTGGTACAGTTCATAATGGATCACATAATGAAATTAAGACCCACACCAGTCAAGAATGCAGGCTAATATACTTTTAATAAATACATAATAATATTTGAGAATTCTGTTACCTAATGGACGCTTTGGGTTCTAGTTCTCTAATTATTATATCGCATGTCTTGGCTGATTTTGTTTATGCCATACTCTTATCTGATGTGGGTTTCCTAAAATCCTAACTTACGTATCTCAACATCCTTGGTTATTTGCTTGCAGGGGCCTGTAAGAGTTAACGAGAAGGAATAGTTCTCTTCCCAAATGGATAGAGAAGGGGCTTTTTTTGTTGATGGTGGTTATGCAGTATGCTAACATTTTTGTACTGAGGGTATCATGTTACCAATAGAGCCAAATATAATCTGTGGTTCTTAAAATGTTCAATTTTTATGTCGATAAAATACTTTCAGTGCATGTCGGTATGTAGTACTCCACATGGATATAAATTCCACGAACAAAATTTTAATTTATTTATTTTCTTTCTTAATATTACCTGCACTATTAATCCTTCATGTTGACAAAGACAATTTGTGCAAATGCCAGCACTGAAAGGACTCCATTTTACTTCACTACCATTGATGCACGAAAACATGCTAGTTCTTTAAGGGCATATTTGATACATGCATAAGATTTCTTTAATATCGTCATATCATTTAGTTCTGTACATTTCTCCCTATCAAATAAGCAAGTAAAGCCTTATCATAAGCTCCCCCCGCCCACCAAGAAGGGGAAAAAAATAAAAATAAAAATCACATGGAGGAGAAAACCATTTTTCATGTTTTTGGTTCTCCATAGTGATGTTGTCTAACCCCAAAAACTAGGGAAACGTTAGTCTCGCTGCTTATCTTATTATTCAATTTACTATCCATTCACAAATGACATACAACCACAAAATAAGTTCAGAGAAATGATCATTTCTTGAAATAGTTTGATGCTCACCAAAAGAGAGGAATGACCCATGAGAAAAAGGGAGAATTTTCATGGATAAAGATTGAATCTGATATAAGAAAATAATCAAGTTTAGCAGTTCTTTGCCCCTTCGACAACTACATCAAGTCTCTATGATAATTCTCATGTCTATTGATACCGAACATTGGTAATGCTAAATAGCATCATTCGTGCAACAAAAACATATAATTTGTCTCTCTATTTCTAATTCCAAATATTCCCCATTTAACCCCTGTTTGGTGGCCATTTTTTTGGTAAAGCATTGTAATAGACATTTTTTTAGAATATGTAGTTAAAAAATGCAAAAATTTTGGATTTATGTGCTAAGAGTTTTGAGAGAGGAGTTATTTTGGAGTTATTCTTGGGTGACAGGGCCTGAACGTCCAGGGCCCTATGTGAGCTTAATGCCCAAGTTCTTTTTTGCTTCGAATTGAGTCGGCCCATGAGGTCCTCTTCAAAGCCATAAGTTTTCTTATTCCGAGGTTTCTCAGTTCTTTAAGAATTCGAAAAATACCAGGTTTCCAATTTCAGAGAGCGGAGCGGACTTTATTTCTGGGCCCCGGAGTCCCCCTTACATCTCCCTCTCTCGCCGTTTTCTCCATTGGCAAAAGCATGTACCTATACAAACACCTATAAATACAAATGTATTTATACAACAGTTGTATTTCATTGTTGTACAATAAATATCCCAACATTCATATCAATATAAAGATCACAGCTTTCTGCTTCCGATCCAGGCATAGAGCTCAAATGCGTAGTTTTCTGTGGGGTACTTGTTTTTATCTATGTATAAAATCCTTGGCAAACAACGCCTCATATATCGCTCTCTCATCGGGAACTATGTGAAAGCTGGTCTCATTGATAAAGCAATCCAAGTGTTTGATGAAATGTCCAATTCAGATTGCAGGGTCTTTTCCATTGATTACAACAGGTTCCTTGGAGTGTTGATAAAGAACTTGCGTTTTGAGTTAGCTGAACACTACTATAATTTGATGGTTTCAAAAGGGTTCTCTTTGAGTTCCTTTACCTACTCCAGGTTCAGCTCGGGATTGTGTAAAGTTAAGAACTTTGAGCTCATTTGTAGGCTTTTTGAAGATATGGATAGGCTCAACATTGTGCCTGATATTTGGGCTTATAATATTTATTTGAATCTTTTGTGCAGCGAGAATTTAGTGGACAATGCCTTGGAATTGTTGAGAGTAATGAGAGAAAAGGGGCGGGAGCCTGACATAGTGAGTTATACCATTACAATTAGTGGGTTGTGTAGAGTTAAAAGGCTTGATAAGGCTGTTGAAATGTGGAAAATAATGATTAAGAAGGGCTTTGAACCGGATAATGATGCTTGCAGGGCACTTGTTTTGGGGTTATTTGACAATGGGAAGGTTGATTTGGCATATGAGCTCACTGTGGGGGATATGAAGGGGAAGGTTAAGTTTAATGTGGTAATTTATAATGTACTTATAGATGGGTTTTGTCAAACAGGCAGGATTGATAAGGCGCAAGCAATGAAGTCATTTATGATTAGGAATGGATGTGCGCCTGATTTGGTTACTTATAATGTGTTGTTGAATTATTTTTGTAATGAGCTAATGTTGGACGAGGCAGAGAATTTAGTAGAAAAGATGGAGCGAAGCAGGATGAAGCCCGATGTTTATAGCTACAATCAGCTTCTAAAAGGTCTATGCAAAGGCAACAGAGTAGATATGGCCTATGTCTTGATGGTCAGAAAGATGGAAGCTAAAGGGTTAATAGATGTGTCCTACAATACAATTATTAGAGCATTTTGCAAGGTGGGTCGTGCTAGAAGGGCTTTTAAGCTATTGGAGGAGATACAGAAGAAGGGAATTGTTCCTGATGTGAAAACATTTACCACCCTCATAAAAGCTTTTCTTAGAGAAGGCAACTCAAGGATAGCCAACAATCTTCTTGAACAGATGGCAAAAATGGGTATATCTCCAGATAGAATATTGTATACTGTGATTATTGATCACCGGTGCAAGATTGGTAGCGTAGAAATAGCTCACAGTATTTTTCATGATATGGTAGGGCAGGGAATTGCCCCGGATGTAGTGTGCTACAATGCACTCATCAGTGGGTTTTGCAAGGCTCAGAGAGTTAGTGAAGCAATGCATCTATATGAGGAAATGCAAAGTAGAGGTTTGTATCCAGATGAGTTGACTTTCAAGTTAATCATTGGAGGTCTCATAAGGCAAATGAATTATTCATTGGTTTATGGCGTCTGGGATCGGATGATGGAGAAGGGATTTACCCTTGACAGAGATATATCTGAGATTCTTATCAATGTCATCCATTCAAAAGACGCATCCTGAGGTAACTTCACCAATGGTTTGTATCTCATGACTCCTCTTCATGATCCTTTTTGTGTGCAAATTCGTGTTAGAGCGTTTCCATGATCTGCATCTGTGTATCCTAATCTGCAGTTTAAACCACTGTGCAAATGTTGAACTCTGCAAGTAGTTCATTTTGTACAGTGACCCATATCTTTAATGTGAATTATAATAAAATAATATTACACGCAAACCCAAAACTTTTCCTTATTTCTTAATCACGCGTTTGCCATCGAATCACTATATAAAAATGCATTTTTGACAAATAATGGGCTCAAACAGGATCTAAAAATTAAAGATAAACTGTATCCCGTGCTTCAGGAGAACAGGTAAGCAGGAGCTTGCAAGTAACAGAAAATAATAGGAACATATCACATGACATGTATTGCGGTTGTATTTTCTGAGATGGCTTTGTGTCATTGATGAGAAAGTTACTAATCTTTTGTTGGTAAAATGAATTTAGGTTGAATTGCTGCAAAGCTCTCGCAAGATATATTCTCAGTTGATGATGCAACTGTCAAAGCCTTGGCATCAAGAGTTACCACATATTCCTGGCTGATTCCAGAAATAATTAAACAGGTTGGGTTTGTTTTTCTACCTCCAAAGTTTTCACCCTTATAGCTGATCTACGCATTTTCTTAGTTTGTTTTGCATATGCCAAAATTCAAGATTTAGAATAAATAAAAAGATTTAAGACGAGACGACTAAGCTGAATAACATTTCAAGATATAGCCATAGAGCAGTGGCTGTGGAATCATTGTAAGCTCATTGTCTATTCTTTATTACCAGGGCTAATATGTCACCTTCAAATTTTGCTCTTCTTTTTTCAGTTTACATGATGTGTGCTGTTCTACCCATTTTGGGCTAATTCTACACAGATCAAAACCAGGCGCTCCAGTATCATCATGTAGCAAGCCAGGTACTTTGGCTTCTTGCCCTTGTGCGGGTATGAAGCTGAACTAGTTTTCTGATAATTTTCATTATCATACTAATCTAGGTATGATTTTTTCTTTTGCCTTTCTAAAGTATTTTGTAAGTACCATTCACAAATACTCAACTCAAGAAAGTGAGTCTCTCTTTGTCGTGTGTAGTGGCAGTCTTTTGCAATCATTAGTCTTAATCTCTTAAGAACATAATATGGAACATAAAAGTTACAAATATTAATTTAATGGATATTTTGTTCCTATTACTTTCTATTTTCTATCGTACATAGCCTTGTCGTATTTTCTTTTCCTTATCTTGAGCCACAGATACATTGCTTTGCGTTAAGCTAAAAAAGACTATTTCCATGTTGGCCCTCCGTAGATTCATCAGATTGTAAGCTAGTGATGTTTTCGGCTCCTAGACTTTTGCCATCTAGGGGCAGCATGGTAGAGGCAATTTTGCTATCTCTTATACCAACACCATTAATAATCGAATCTTTAAAAGAACCATCAATATTATGCTTCTCATCAATTCATTTTCATTCTTTGTCATTGTCCTCTATTAGTGGCTGTGTTTTCTCCTTCCCCCTTTCCTTCCGTGTAAAGGCTGAAAAATGAAAATAAAGATACCTTGTAAGCATTCTAAATTATAAAGAAACAGTCCAAAAGCCAAGGTCAGTAATAAACACTAGACAAACCAGCGAAGAGGCTTTAGCTTCAGGCGTGAGCCTCACAAATGGCGCTTAAGGAGTAAGCTTTGAGGCATTTTACAAAAGCCTCCGCATGATGCAGGATTCAAGGCATGAGCCTCAAATAGCTTTTCTTTAGACGATGATTTTAAAAGAAAAGAAAATAAACATAGAGTCAAACACTAGAAATATATGAAAGAAAAAAGGGTTGCCAGTTGTTTGGCATTGAAAAGTAGCACCTTTACTTGGGTAGGTGGATCGTTCATCAGTAGAGAGCAAGGATAGGCCAATGTTCCTGACTTGTTTTCTCCATCTCCAGTTTTTTTCTTTTTAGTTCTATGGTTGTTTTGGTTTATTGCAGTCTAAATATGAACTTATTGGGCCATGAAAAATCTGTTTGAAAAGTTGAGACTAGTATAAAATAGCTCCAAAAGCATTGGGGATACTTTCCTTGGCTTTATGTCTCATATCACGCTTTTTGAGTAAGTCAAGATGTAAGCCTCAACAAAGGTCACAGATTATATATAGGGCTCCTAATGAATGCTTTGCATGTCGTGTGAAGATTTTACTGTTATTTTACCTGTGAAGGGTCATAGATATACATCTTGTACTCGTCAAGATTGTGCTGTTATTTTCAATATGTTTTGGAAAATTGGTTCTATTGCAAACTTTAACCGTCCATTGCAGCCAAAAGTTCTTTTTTTGATAAGATCAATTTATACATCATATTTAAGTACCTGAGCAGTTCCACTTTTCTCATTCGAAAGACTTAGCTTCGTACTGTTCTTTGAGTGTTGTATGTTGCATTATCAATGTATCATTTGAGCTTGAACACTGCCATATTCAACCTTATTCGGCCTTGTATCGGCACGATGGTTTTCCACCGGATATTAGATTATTTGCCTTTTATGCTTGGCTAATGTCTGACTTGTTGTCTTTTCAGCAATTCTAGTACCACTTCTGATTCTGCCTTTTTCCTTGTTTTGGTTATTTACTTATTTCAATTCATGCTTTCATCTAAACTTTAGATACTGTAATGAACCTTCAAAAGGAGACAGGTCAACATTTTCTTCCACACGGCCATCAAGAACAATATTGGACCAGTTACTGATTTTCCTCGGCAACCACAGCCATGACCGAAGCGGGTGTAGATGTTCCCACCCTCAGCCGCAAGTGAAGCCACAGCCCACCTGAGCCAACATTCAACTACTGACGCCATGGACATCTCATAGAACCAGGCCAATAGCATGGCTGTGGCTGCATTCTCTAAACTCCTGTGGATAAACGATCGTGGGAATCCTGTCAATGGAGGAAGCTCGACATCTCCGCTGTCACAAAGATAAAAATCTCAATATTTGTTGTTTTTAATATGGAGGAGAATAGAGACAAGTCTTTGCTTATATGCCACGAAAGCTCGAAGTTAAATAGATGAGCACTTAACAAAGTGGCACTAGGGTACCGCCTTAATGCCGATCAGACATTGCTCACAAGCTTCACCAATCCCAATGGTAAAGGTGCGTACAGATTTCTGTTTCATTGTCGTGAATCCTTTTTATAATGAAGTTTGTGTGTTAAAACCATTATCTGCGACATTAAGCGAGTCTGGTTCACAAATGTACAATTGGTGGAAGCTATGTTTGGGTTTGGAACGTCATAGCCAAAAGCTGAGAAACGGTGGACGGTAGAAGAGTTAACTATGAGACTAGATATTTATAGGGATAAATTGTCCTCCACCAGCGTCTTGATTGGGGAAGAATGTTCATTATGAAGCGCCTAAATAAATAACGACGCTTGAAGGGCGAGCGTTCAGTTTCTGTTTCCTTATGCAGTGAAGGTTGATTATTTATTCTCAGATCACAATAGTTGGCACTTCATTCTGTATGATTATTTTCTTTTGTTGTGATAGAATTCTATGTCATGGTACTTGTAATGAAGTGATAGCATGTTTGGTAAAACGAAAAAATAAGTTAAGATCTTGTTCTTTACACTCCAATAATGCCTCATCTTGTTTTTTACACTCCAATGATGCCTTGTAGTCCGAAACTTGCACTTGAAAATACTAGAGAGTCAAAATTGAGATTGCAATGAGTTCCTCATTAGGGAGTCCAAACCGTGGAGCGATAGAAAAATTGGAATTCTAGGTCTTTGAGCTCTGTTCCATCAACTTGTCTTGACAATAGGTGGTGGAGAAATCGGGGATTGATGCAGATTGCGGTGAATGATCCTGAAGGGGTCATGAAAAATCTAAGATCTCAAGTTAAAAGCCCATTTTTTGAAAGCAGTAAAGCATTCAACCTTACAACAAGACTCATAGGAAAGAGAGCAAATTCCGTCCTCTCTTAGGGTGATGTGGTTTATTATCCTTTCATTCATAATTTGATCAAGTCGAAAAAAATCATTGATCAACCACAAAAGAGATTCTAAAAGCTAACATAAAGATGCAAAGTACGAGGTGTTCTGAACAGCAAACGACATTTCCTAAATTTCAGGAGATGGATAACTCCGTAGAAAAAGTCTAATGGATACTGTAATAGGTACTGCAATACATGCTCCACGATGAAACAAGACAACAAAATGAAGATTCGGGCCAACAAATTTTGCTCTCTATCACACTTCGAGAATAAGGAATCCAAATCACCACAACATCTGGAACCATGGCAATAATCAAACACGTGCTTTTTAGGACCTGTACCCGTATCTGGTAAAGAAAGGATGCTTGAGGGCCTCATGAGCAGTCATCCTGACAGAAGGGTCATAACGAAGAAGTCCCACCAAGAGGTCTATCAAATCTCCAGCTGAATGATCCACATGCTGCATTACTACATTCTGCAATGACAGGATGAAATGAACCTACTTATGAATGTACTGATCAAAGGATCAAGAGGATAAACTATGGATGGTGGCATCGAAAGAAAAGGACTCAAGTTTATGGATCAAGGGGGGAAAAAAATACTGACAGTGGACCAGAGGAAATATGACTAAATAGGCATTCTCTTAACGAGGGATGATTAATATTGTTCTCTACGTTTGTCAAGTTAAAATGTCACCAAATGCATCTGCCGTTTGACATTTCAGAAGTGTCAAATAACATGGAAAATGTGAACAAATGGACACGTTCACTTCGAAAAAATATAAATCAAATTACATGTGCCAATCATCCACCATATCCACGAAACCCAGCCTAAAATGTTGATTTCGGAAGTAAATTTACAGGACAGGTGATCTCAGATCTGACTTGAGAATTTACACCAAAGATTACCTAAATAAACAAAATGCAAAGGTGAGTGTAGCGAAAAAGCAAAATGTAGGACCAACCTGAAGACAAGACAGCTTTGAAACAGCCTTAATGCTGTCTCTTGAAGTTGCACCTTCAGGCCACGCCAACCTACCCCATTTTATATATTTATGAGCCTGCCGACTATGTCAATGAAACCACAGGAGGGAAAGATACTATCAATAATTAGCAAAACAAATGATAGAAATGATGAGATAAATTTCCAGTTCTATTAACATACTCTACACGTTTCAACATGTATTGCGGAAGAGGACCCAACACTCTCTCCATCATGGCCAGGTGTTCTAAATTCTCATGAGTCTGAAACAAAGCTTCACCCTGCATAGTCAACATCAGATTAAAAAATCAAGGCTTACACCCATGCCTCTAGGCATACAGTTATTTGACCAACAGGTGAACCATTACTGCTTAATCATCAGAATTACCGAGCATAGCTCAACCAAGATGCAACCAACACTCCATATATCACATGGATAGCTCCAGCCCAGTCCTGAAAAAGACACAGGCAGTCTCAGCATAGCAATGAAGAACGCCAATATAAAGTACATGGTGATGCACAAGAAAATTCTACATACCAAGAATAACCTCAGGGGCACGATAATGTCTAGTGGAAACAATATAATTGTGATCTCGACGCTCATAGACCGCACTACCAAAGTCAATAACCTTAATAGCACTTGACTTTGGCAATCTCTTATAAGCAGACCCATCTCTTAAAGACCAAGATGCAATCTGCACATGCAGGATAGACATTAAATGAAAAGCTGACAGAAAAGAGTCACGTAGAAAAGAAATGAAGTCTGAATTTAAGAATAGCCAAGTCACACAGCATAAACTCTTAGATTGACAGACATACCCTGAAGTCAGGTATTTTCACATACTCCGGAGAAACAAAGAGTATGTTCTCTGGCTTCAAATCGGTATGGATGAGACGCATATCATGCATGACTGCAACAAAAGCCAGCCAAAGCATTCAAAGAATTAGAGTTTTCTTTCGGATGAGAGGACTATAAGCCGAAAAAAAATGGATGCATCATCTCAATCAAAGTTGTTACACACAAGAAGACTTCTAGCGAGGTCCATAAAATGAAATGAAAAACGATGGGATTCTATATGTTTGCCATGAGGATAAAAAAAAAAAAAAAAAAAATGAAGAAAAAAAAGAGGTATCGACCACAGACATGCTACACATTCCAAAACTTGTCTGCCAATCTCGCGGACTAGATCAACTGGAAATGATCGGTAACTGTTTTTCCGTAGAAAATCGAATAAGCTTGGTCCAAGCTTCTCAAATACCTGTTAAGACCATTACATTCATTGACAAGCCTTGACTCCCCAAAAAGTTGAAAAAAAAAATGGGGATTCATGTTACTTTGAATCGATAATATACTTACTAAACAAATATGGTTACGATAATCAAACCAGTTCCGTAATTCAACACAACTGCAAAGAATGAACTTGTTTAGCCATCAGTACAAAGTTCTGCTTTATATGAATGAAAGACAGTAAAGCTGAAAACATATATTATATTATCATTGATTGTAAACTCACCGACTGCCATTTCTATCATATCTACCAAGCAACTGAAGCACATCAATTTCTACCATTGCTACTTCGCGATACTTCTTAATGCTTCGAACAATTTTTATTGCAACCAATTCCTTTTGCTCCCTGTCCCAGCATTCCAAAACTTGACCAAATGTACCTATGAAATGAGATATAAAGATTTTACACATGAAATGAGAAAAGACCAACATGCATATCCCATTAAATATATTTCGACAAGGGAGACTAACCTTCACCAATCTTTCTCAGGATCTTATCTGGAATGCGGTACAAAGTGGAGATATGGTGTAATACACATTTAAAAGAGGAAGATATTAGTTACTAGACCAGATCAGAAATTAAAATATATAATTCAATCAGTTGAAGATGAGTTATCATTTCTTTCCAATTGCATTTGAAGCCATTTCCTTCTTCATTTTTTTCTTCCTTATTTTCTTATCTTTCTTCTTTTTTGGGAAAAGGAAGATGAATCGGTAAATAACATCATTTTTTAGATATCTGGTAGAAAATGGAGAAAAAAGCAGGCACTGCCATAACAAATCAAACATACTGGAGCTATGCTATACGAGAGCATATGAGATGGCTTTATCATGATAAGTAAATAGAATTACAGCGAGAGGTTAAATTCTCTCCAAGCTCAAATACATAATGCCCATTTTTGTCATCGTCCCGCCATGGCGGAGAGCCTCTTTCAGCAAGTCCTCTTGTGTATAAATTATTGAGGTCTGCAGGCACTCCTTGATGCCCATAATTTGATATGTTTCCAGTCTCTCGTCCATGATATATCCCTGGTTGGACCTACAAACAGTAATGTGTGCATACTTCACTAAACAGAAATCAAAGAGAAGTTTCTCCTCTGCCAAAAATTTATCACATCACAAGATATGGCTACACTAAAAATTGATGAAAATTAGCGGACAAGTTAAATTTCAAATAACTACTTGCTAAGCTGATTAATGAAAACCCAGAACCACTATTGTTGCACAAATTTTAGCCAAGAAAAGGCAAAGGAGCCCTCACAAACATACACAAGAGTGAGCACACAGGCACATGCCCACAACTAGAGATATAAATATGTCATCTCATTCACCTATTTGTTTCCATAAATTGGGGGAAGAAAAGCAAAAGAGAGATCAAGAAAATAATATTATGTCCAGATATACATAAGGTGTTGATAATTGGTGATCTTACTCACATTTTAATAGCAAAAAATAAAGCATGCCAACTTTGAACGAAAAAACAAAATTATTTTCTTGCCACGACAAACAATGGCAGGAAGAAGAAGCTAAGCCTTATCTCCAGTAAATTTGGTACACTTGGGATTGGCTAAGGTGCTATGTCTAGATCAAGAAGGAATGTAAATGACGTGTTTTTACTTTTTCCCTAGACCAAAAAAGTGAATAAAGTTCTCAATCAGCACTTGAACCACAGAATGTATTTTACTCAAAACTATAAAATTTATTTTGGTTTCTCAACTGCGATAACTTATTTTACTAAAAAATATGTATTCATTTTAGTTACTCTGAATTCGTCGACATGTTTAGTTTACAGACTTCTATATTGCTAAGGAGCTTTATTTTACATCTCTAGTGATATAAAACATTTTAAAAACGATTGAGAATACCCTTAAATCTTTTCAACTGAATTCTTTCCATTACCCTATGTAAAGAACTCAATCAACATAAAATATCACACAAAATTCTAATTGCCACAGATTTCACATGAATTACCGATAAAATTTCATTACTATATTAATAATCAATAAAAATTACAAAGACGGAAACTGACCTTGGAAGCGTGAGAAAGTTGGTCCCAGGCTAATTTTGGACGCTTATTGGGACGGCGGTCCATGTGAGAATACGGATATTCACCCATGTACTCAATATCTCCATTACAAATCCATTAATTCGAGTGTATGAAGATGTGAAACCCTAACTATAAAAGTATGATTTATTCAATTTAAGAGCTTTGGGGGAAATTTTCATTGGAGGTTACTAACTATAAGTTTGTTTTATGTTAGTCGCAGAATTTTAATTTATTTCCATTTAAGCACTTCACTAATGTTTTTATTTCATTTTGACCATTCTTCTTCAGTCAACCAAAAACGGGTTACTTTCACTCATTCCATCCAATTCAACATGAAGTATAGCGGCACTATTGTCAAGTGTTTTTATATTCAAAACTGCATCGTTTAACTTTCTTGGAGGTTCCATTTGAGAAAAAAAATTGTTGATTGATTGGTAATGAAAGTGGGTACATTCTTTGCGATGTCAATTGGAGCATTCATTTTCTGGCAGACCATGGATAAAGTCCATGTTTGGATCACCCTCCACCAGGACAAGAAGGTATGACCCTCACCCCACCCCGCCCAGTTTATATACTAACATGTTTCCATATAATGACGAGATCAAATTGTAGCCTGTTGGAGTTTCAGGCTCTTCTCCTTGAAGTAGCAAGTGGGACGGACCTTAATCCCATCTCAGCACATAAAACAGCTTCATTACGAGGAAACAAACTTTCAGAAAGCATTCTTCTGCTTGTTGTAAAGAATTTAGCTACTGAAATTCTTGAGCCCAGTTGATGATCTGCAATTAAATGTAAGACTCGGCCTAATGATTGGTGTATTTTAACTAAAGGTTCGAAATTTACAAAGTCGTGTTTTGAAAATACAACTTCAACTTAAAGGCGTCCCACAATGGATTTCTTACATCTGGCACCGTTGAATTGTTCTGTTGGACGAGCCTCATATAAATAGGGTTGAGAGACTTTCTATGGAACCCTAATCTCCTTTTATTGACTTCCGCTTTTTCTTCTTCATTCTCTTCATCTTCTGGATGATGTTTTGGTATGATTTCTTAGTGAAATCTTGTAATATACTATTAGTAGTGTTGAGATCTATCTCTGTGTGAGATTAATATATAGAATCTAAGGGCAAATTTGTGGGTGTGGACGGCAGATTGTTTTTGTTCATCTGCAACTAGGTTTTGCTCGATTTTGGGGGCCGTGATAGTGGATTCGAGCTTAATCCGTATGGATGCTCAACGGGAATGTAGACGTTAGTTGGTTGCCGAATCTCGGGGCCTTTTAGCCTAAAATTCCTTCGTGTTCTTTACTTTCTTGTCATTTATATTTTGTATTTTTACTAAAAAATACTCGAGTCACAAAAGAGTTCGTAATACTGGGAACTATAGTGGTATCGGAGCCACTATTAAAAATCTTTTTTCAAAATATTATTGTTCGATTTTTTGTGTGACTCGATTGTACTAGAAATCTACCAAAACTGATAGATCTACTTTTGATGTATAGGAAACAGTGTTTGATCTGAATCTTGAGTAGATCTGTGGTATCGGTTTGGTACTTTTGGCATAAGCTACAAATTTGGTGAAATCTATACTATACCCCAACTTTAATACTTGTCGAATCTTATTTAGGGATTAAGTTAAGGAATTTTTGAACCCCCTCTAATTTACCTTTGTCTAGGATTCCATAAGAGAACCCTAGAATCTGAGGAAATTAAGGAACGGTGAAGAAAATACATTAGGGGTTTATTTCTTTGTGCTCTGCAATTCATGTCATTGTCCTTGCATAACCTGATTCTTGTGTATGGGGTTGACAATACTAATAATCTATCTGCAGTTGACATTATTCAATTGACATTTGTATCAATGCTCACGTTTGCATATAAAATTTGGCAAGAAAGTGCTTTATTTGTTACTGCAAGAATTAATATGTCAATTGTTAAGTTTACTAAGTGTGAACTATTTTTATACTACATATCTCTACTATGAATTGCATATTTTGTGAATTGTTTAGCTGAGATTAAATCTTGCCTGAATCATCTTGAACATTATTGTAACACACTTGCACAATATGCCACTAAAATTGATATTCAACATTGGGATGGTAAAGGAGATTTTACCCTCTGGAGCTAGAAGATGAAAGCTCTTTTAATGCAATTGAAATGTGTTAAATCAATTGATGAATCTTGGCCAGAAACTTTATCAGAAGTTAGGAAAACTGAGCAAGATGAATCAGCATAGAGCACCATATTTCTTCATCTATCTGATTCTGTGTTTAGAAAGATAGGAACCACCACCACTACTGCTGAATTATGGACAACTTTAGAAAAACAATATGTTTCTAAATCCCTACCAAATAAGTATTTTCTTTGGAAACAATTTTTCAATCATAAATTTGATCCTACTGCAGACTTGGAAGAAAATATGGATAGATTTAATAAGATCACACAAGATTTAACCAATTGTGGGGAAGAGATTTCAGATGACCAGAAAGTAGTTGGTCTACTAAATGCTCTGGGTGATAAGTATAAAGACGTTATGAATGCCTTAGAATATGGTATGAGTGATTTAACTATTGAAATCATTCAAGACTCACTCAAGAATAGAGATCTAGAACTTAAATTTGAACACAAAGTAGCCTTATATGTTGAAAAATTCATGTCCAATCCAAAACTCCCTACTAAAGGCTTAAATAATTTCAGTCAAGCTAATTACAATAAAGATAAAAATTTCTCTAAAAAGAATAGGGGAATAATAAGGGAAATGATAAAAAAAGTATACAAGGGAAAGGCTAACAATAGAAAGTGTTATTATTACGGTAAAACTAGTCATTTGATAAAAGATTGGCTAAGGGCCTAGGAAATGGCCCTAAGCATGATAATGACACTTCAGCCCTCATTAGAAAGACCTGAACATGATTGGGTTCTAGATTCAGGATGCTCATTTTACATGAGCCCTAATATCAATTAGTTTACTGATTTCACAAACTTTAGTGGTGGGTGTGTAAAACTGGAGAATAATGATCCCTGTCAAGTAAAAGGAATTGGAAACATTGTTTTAAAATTGAAGAATGGTCAACTCTTAATGTTAAACTATACTAGGTATGTTCCAGCACTTAGAAGGAATCTTATATCCTTGTGGGTATTAGATGATAGAGGGTATCAAATTGAAATTAATGATGGTTTTACAAAAATAAATAGAAATCGGTTACTTATATTCAAATCACCCAAAATTAATGGCATCTATACCCTAAATCTTGACTTTGTCATTCAAAATACTGCTGTGAATTTGGTTACACAAACAGATAATTCTGAATTGTGGCACAAAAGACTAGGACATCTAAGTGAGAAAGGCCTAAAAGTACTTTCAAAGTCTGGTGCTTTTGGGAATGACAATGTTCAGAAGTTAACCTTCTGTGAACATTGTATTATAGGAAAACAAAATAGAATGCCCTTTAATTATGATATACATAAGTCACAAAATATACTTGAATACATTCATAATGGGGGGCCTGCACCTGTGTCTACTGCATCTGGATATAGATATTATTTCCTTACTATTGACGACCTGGATCGAAATCAAAATCTAATACCTTCTCAATTTTTAAGGAGTGGAAAACTCCAGTAGAAAATCAAACAAGTAGGAAAATCAAAGTTTTAAGAACGACAATAAATTGGAGTTTTGAAATATTGAATTTGATCAGTATTGCAGCACAAATGGCATACTTAGACATAGGACAATGCCATCCCTTAGCAAAATGGTGTAGCTGAGAGAATGAATAGAACAATCCTTGAAAGAACTAGGTGCATGTTGATTAGTTCAGGACTGCCAAAAATTTTATGGGGAAAGGCAGTAAAAACTGCATGTTATCTGATAAATTTGTGTCCTTTCACTATCTAAATAACAAGGTACCACAACAAATATGGTCAGGACCGGTTCCTGATTATTCTCATCTGAAAACATTTGGGTGTGCAGCCTATGCTCACCAAACTGATTCTAAGCTTGACCCAAGATCTTTGAAATGTGTTTTCTTAGGTTATGGGAAAGGGGTAAAAAGCTATAGGCTCCGGCTAAAAGAAACAAAAGGATTTAAGGTGGTCATAAGTAGATCTATGATTTTTTAATGAAGATGCCTTCCCATGACTTTGTGACAATAATGAAGATAGGATAACAGACAATGATTTTGTTGTGACTAAAATTGATTTTAAAAGCCAGAATACCCCTGAACAAATACAAATTGAGGTGGAGACACCTCAGACTGAAATCCAGCATGTTACCAACGATGAAAATTTAGATAAGCCTCAGGAATTAGAACCTGTACATGACCTGCAGGACTATCAATTGGCCAGAGACAGAGAGGGAAGAACTATTAGACCTTCTTCTAGATACCAGTTTGCAGATTATGTGTCTGGATAGATAGAATCAGAATCCTTAGATAAGGAACCTGAATGTTATGAAGAGGCCATTACCTTTAAGGACTCTGCTAAATGGGTTGCAGCAATGAAAGATGAGATGAGTTCTCTGTATAAAAATAAAACTTGGAACTTAGTGGTTAAACCTAAAGACTGCAAACTAATTGAATGTAAATGGGTTTACAAGATAAAAGAAAGAGAATACAATTCAAATGACAAAAGATACAAGGCTGGGCTGGTTGCTAAAGGGTTCACACAGAGAGAGGGTATAGACTACATTGAAATATTCTCACATGTTGTGAAATATACTTCCATCGGGATATTACTTGTCCTTGTAGCACAATTTGACTTAGTGATAGAGCAATTAGATGTAAAAACTGCTTTTCTGTATGACTTTTTAGATGAAACAATATACATGTCACAACCAAAAGGTTTTAAAGTTAAAAATAAAGAACACTTAGTGTCTCTATTATACAAGTCCTTATATGGCCTAAAACAGGCCCAAGACAAGGATATAAAATGTTTGACTATTTTATACAAGGACTTAAGTTCAGAAAATATGAGTATGATCCCTGTTTTTGTTTCAAAAGAAATGAACAATCTGAATTCTTTTATCTGCTTTTGTATGTGGATGATATGCTCCTAGCTGGTAAGGATTCTGATGCACTGAACTCTATAAAAGGAAAATTAAAGTCTGAATTCGAGATGAAAGACTTAGGACCTACTAAGAAGATTTTAGGAATGGAAATAAAA